CCTGCTCTCTACGTGATTTCTCTACGTTTCACGTATAGCAGAACCTCCCTAGTAACGGAGAAGAATGTTGGATCGTGCTGTCTACACTCGCCAAGTGTGCGGCTGATGACCGGAGTGGCACGAGTTGAGGGAAGAACTCGAAACGCGAAGGTTCGCGTGTTCCTGGGCTCGGGTGCTGAGGCGTCATTCGTGACTGCAGCGTTGGTGTCAGCAATGCAGAACACGTTGGGGTTGAAAATGTAGAGGTGAAGCCGTTTGGCGAGGAACCAATCCAACAGCGCATGGATAAGTACGCCATCACGATCCAGGGTAGCTCCGCTAGCATTCGGGTACACGCGTTCGTGAAACCAACGCTAGAGCTGGACCTGAAGTGCGCAAGTCCGCAGACCATTGCGCAGTGGCACAGTTGGGGAGTAGAGCTGAGTGACAAGCCTCAACAAGGGACATCAGACGAAATACATATGCTGATTGGTGCAGACTATATCAACGCGGTACTGCACAGCAAGAAGGAAGTTAATGGTGAGACGGTGTGGAACACAGAGATAGGTAATGTATTATCTGGTCCAGCGTCTGCACCCAGTCGAAACAGTCAGCCGGTGACCGTGTCATGTGTCACAGCCCACATCGACAAACTATGGCAGTTGGATGAACCTCCAGAACAACATCAGCACATGCCATCTTTCCCGCTATGTCGCCAGGGCAGCGGGTACCAAGTGGTTTTGGTTGGTTGGTTGGTTTTTATTTCACTTCGCACATTCAAACGGGATGACGACCCAATAAAATGACGGCGAAGGCTTAGCCTAGAAGTGGCTATGGAAGAACATAGTAAAAGCTATGGAAGCACATAGTAAGAGAATAGGATACTAATAACTGCGGGTAAACGGGGGGAGAGAGAATACGATGTATCTGTGATACTACGTGCGGGTTACTGAACTACACGGGGAGGGAGAGCAGAGCGATCAGCAGCAACTCGAACTTCTCCCTACAGGCGTATGGTACACATGCATGCTTAAACTCAGGTAGCCGGGTAATTGTGCGGACCTCACCAGGGAGAGCGTTCCACAGCAGAGCACCAGCAACAGAAAATCTCCGCTGACCGCGGCGGCTACGGTTTGCCTGGCTTAGTAGGCCATTTGACTGCTGATGGCGGGTAGGGGTGCCTTGTGCCGGGGTCAGAAGCTGGGCGAGCACAGGGCTGGTGCGGGGGGGGGATGCACCGCCAGATGGTAATCAATATTTTCTGCCTGTAGAGCTCGCTGACACGTGGGTCTCTTGTGGCGAAATGAGCGTCGCCCAACGGATAACTATGCTCAAGCTAGAGTCATCGCAACGCGGCTTCTTGAAAAGCTGAAGAGGAATGGGAAGCGTGCGCTCTATGATGATGTGCTGATCATGGAGTACCGCGAGCTTGGAGCAATTGAGCTGGAGCCATGTGAGAGCGATGCCGGGTACTATGTACCGCATCATGGTGTATTCCGCGAGCACGCTGCAACCACGAAGTTAATAGTGGTGTTCAATGCCTCGGCGACGGCTCCAGATGGCAAGTCGTTGAACGACATGGTTGACCCTGGACCGTCGCTATTGCCGAGTCTCGCAGGTTTGCTATTACGGTTCCGTGAATATAAGAGCGCGCTGCAAGCGGACATCCGCAAGGCTTTCTTCATGGTCGCGGTTAATCCCGAAAACCGTCCGTACCTGCGTTTCTTGAGGCCCGGTCGAAGCGACAGCGATGAACTGTTAACCTGGAGGCTAACGAAACTGCCATTTGGCGTAAACTGCTCGCCATACATGCTTACTGCGGTGATTCAGCATCACTTGAAGGAGCTACGGGCGTTGTCTGCACCCAAAGAGCGAGATCGTATTGATCTCTTGCTCACGAGTTTCTACGTTGACGATTTGGTCTCTAGTGTCTCTAATGCCTTGGAAGCCAAGGAGATGCAAGAGTTCAGCGTTCGTGTGCTTACGGATGCTGGCATGGAGTTACGCAAGTGGCGAGGCAACGAAATCCCGTGCGAACCAGAGGCCGGAAATAAAGTCCTCGGTCTGAAATGGAAAACCAGTGATGACTTACTCAGCATAGCAGCGCTAGGCGAGTCCGATAGGCCGTCTGTTTGGACCCGGCGATCCCTCCTCAAGTGTGTTGCGTCAGTGTTTGATCCGCTAGGTCTAGCAGCACCGGCAGTTGTGCCGGGAAAGATACTGCTACAGCAAGCCTGGAAAGTCGGAGGCGACTGGGATGATAAGTTGCCTGATGGCATCGCAGCCGCATGTGCGCAATGGTGGGGAGAGTTGGCCGAAGTGGTGAGCATTGACATACCACGTTGGATTTGCTGCAATCTTGACACGCCGATTGCGCTTCATGCCTTCGCCGATGCCAGTGAGAAAGCGTTTGGATGTTGTTTGTATGCAGTTGTCAATGGACAGTCGCACTTGGTATTTGCCAAGGCCAAAGTGGCACCCGTGTCTCCACCCACGTTAGCCCGCCTTGAGTTACAAGCAGTATGTCTAGCGGCTCGCTACGCTGAGTTTGTGGTGAGGGAGCTGCGGGTGACCGTCACGCAAGTTTATGGCTGGACTGACAGTCTCACTACCGTTCATTGGATCAGTAATCCATCGTACAAATGGAAAACATTTGTTGCTAACCGCGTCAGTCAAGTCCAAGAGATATCGAAGAAGGTCGGCATTGTGTGGAACCATTGCCCGGGCCTTCACAACCCAGCAGATCTACCGTCGCGTGGGAGTAGTGCACAGCAGATCCGTAGTTCGTTCTGGAGGGGCGGACCAACCTGGATCACGGAGCCCAATGACTGGCCCACCGCACCCTCAACCGCAGCTACAGATGAGTCCAGTGTAGAAGTACGAGTGTCAGCCACCACCTGTAGTCGAGAATCTGATAAGGAATGGTGGCTCCGATTCAGTAAATGGTCGAGGGCACAGGGCATGGTGACTCGGATGTTGCAGTGGAAGCACACTGAGCCTCGTGCTGAACTCTATTTTGCAGCAGACAACGTATTGTACCGCATCGTTCAAGCCGCATGTTTCGCTGAGGATCTTGAGCTGATCAATCAAGGTCAACCAGTGAAGCCTGGGTCGAAGGTGTATCAGCTTGCACCGTTTCTGGATGAGCATGGAGTGCTCAGAGCCGGGGGACGACTTCAGCACAGCGAGTTGGCGCATGGAGCCAAGCACCCAGTCCTGTTAGGCAAACATCATCTGACCGAGTTGCTGTTGGAGAAAATGCATGTTGAAGGGATGCAACAAGGTGTACAAGGAGTCTTGTCGTTCATCCGTCAGAAATTCTGGATTATCGGTGGTCGACGAGCGCTACGCAACATTACTCAGCGATGTGTTACATGCCGCCGCTACAAGGCTAAGGCTGCCTCAGAAGTCTGCCCGCCGCTGCCAGAAGACCGAGTTGTTCACGAGAGGCCGTTCGCAACTACCGGCATCGACTGTGCTGGTCCGTTGTACGTGCGCCGTGGTGAGTCATCTCCGAAGGTATGGATAGCATTGTTTGTGTGTGCCACCACCAGAGCAGTTCACTTGGAGGTGGTCGATAGTTTAAGTACTGAGTCATTCTTGATAGCATTTCGGAAGTTTGTCGCGAGACGTAGTTTGCCGTCTCGGATCAGGTCTGACAACGCTACAACGTTCAAGGCGGCATCTGACAAACTGAGTGTGCCATGGATGTTCAATCCTCCAGCTGCACCATGGCATGGAGGCTTCTATGAGCGAATGGTTGGTACAGTGAAGAGTGCCTTGAAAAAGGTAATGGGAACAGCGTTTCTGAAGGTCCAGGAGCTTGAGACCCTCTTGTATGAGGTTGAAGCAGTGGTGAATAGTCGTCCGCTAACTTATGTGTCTGATAGCCTGGATGAGCCACCAGTAACCCCTGCAATGATGATGGGTAACATCTTGATGTCGTCAGAGAAGCCAGCAGGAACTCTGGACGCTGCGCAGATGTCATCGAGATTGCGTTACCTCAGTCGGACACTGGAGCATGTCAAGAATCGTTGGGAGGTGGAGTACCTAAGTCAGCTGAACAAACACCAACAGACCATGTCCCGCCCTTTAGCTGTGGGTGATGTTGTCGTTGTTCTCGATGATACCAAGCGCAAACAGTTCTGGCGTTTGGGACGGATCATCGAGTTATTCCCTGGTCGAGATGGTAAGCGTCGTGTTGCCAAGGTTAAGTTGAGTACCAGTACCCTGTTGAGGCCGATCCAAAGGTTAGTGCCGTTAGAAGTATCGTCACAGGACGTGGCTCCTGGGCTTGCAGATACCGCTCAACCTGCTATCGTCCCTCAGCAGCCAGCGTATGAACCGTCAGCACCGTTACCACCACCCCAGCAGCAGGAGATGACGCGTTCTGGGCGCGGAGTCAGAGCCCCGGATCGTTTTTGACTTGTGTGCATTGTTGTACGGCGGTGAGAAGCCCTTTGGTGGGGAGAATGTTGCAAACCACCAGTTCTCAATTGGGAAAGGCCTTCGCGCTTATGGCATTGTATTCGTTGCAATGTTGTATTTCGACTCCGCCGTACCGCTGATGTTGCTGCATGGCATACGCTATATGCGCTGTGTGCGTTTTGCGGTATACGCTGTTATGTCCAGTTTTATATGCGTATGTTTTGCATGTACGCTGTTTTTTGCATGCTATAAATAGCTGGTGTTATTAGTGTTCATTGTTAATTATTCGATGAAGTGAAATATAATGTGTAAAGGAAAAGAGTTGTCCTCGTGCCGTGTGGTCGTACGATCCTGACAATTTAGAGAATCTTAGAGGGTTCACAACAATTATGGAGCCTGCTTCCAAAAAGAGATTTGTGGCCGCCTCCGACGCAGATATTGCGGAGATTTAGAACTCCAGGGTTCCCAAGTCCACGAAGGACACGACCTCCACGTGGCTATCAATGTTCGAAGAGGACAACAATCTGCAATGCGACCTCCGGAAGTGCACCCGAGAGGAGCTGAACAATGTGCTCTGCCGTTGTTACGTATCTATGAGACGGAAAGACGGCGGCTATTACCAAGAGCCCGGGTACCATGGTTTCCGGGCTGCCATCCAACGCCAATTGACAAGCCACGGCCGACAATTCAACGTACACACTGACGTTGAGTTCCAGAAATTGAATGATGTTCTGGATGGTGTTCTTAAAAAGAACAAACGTGAAGGCCATAGCAATCCTGTCCAGCACAAAGATCCCATCAAAGACATTGATATTGACAAGATATCTTACTTCTTTGACAGAAGCAAAACGGCAGAGAATCTGACCAGACATGTTTGGTTTTTCATCACACTTCATCTTGGCCTCCGTGGTCGCGAGGTGCAACGGAAGATCACAAAGACCGATGTTGAATTCGGCACTGATGGCCATGGCGAGTTTGCTCGCCTCTCCGCGGACTTCGCTACAAAAAACTACCAAGGCGGGCGCGGATCTGCTCGTCGCGACGCCGGTGCGGGAAAAATCACGGACCGAGGTCAACTGCTGTCGTTGCGAGTGATGATGACACACCTGCACCCAGACTGTCCTGCTCTGTTTCAGAGAGCGAAGCAGAATTATGCCACCAAAGACAAAGTGTGGTTCTGCAACTCGCCACTGGGCAAGACCACTCTCGGCAACATGATGCCCGAGATTTCGAAGGCCGCCCAGCTGACACAAATCTACACGAACCACTATCTACGCGCTACTGTTGTGTCGATGTTGTCTGGTGAGGGTATTGAGCAACACCAAATAATGGCATTGACTGGTCATCGGAACTCCAACAGCCTGACATCGTATACGCGGCCGACAACCGCACAGAAAAGAACTATGTCGGACATATTAGATGGCAAGAAGAGACCCGAAGCAGCGCACAGCAGCACAGCAAAGGCCGAGATCGCACAGCCTGAGTCCGTGCGCTTAACTGATGTGTTCCGTGGATTCACAGATATGGAGATCGACCTGCTGTTTAGGGTCTGGGACAACACATCGACACCCAGTGTTACACCAGCTCCCAAGACAGCCACAGGGTGCAGCTCCTCTGCCTGCAACCAGCAGCATTAGTGCTCCTCTGCCTGCAACCAGCAGCATCAGTGCTCCTCTGCCAACAGCCAGCAGCATCAGTGCTCCTCTGCCAGCAGCCAGCAGCATCAGTGCTCCTCTGCCTGTCTCGTTGCAGCCACCACAGCCAGGCAGCCAGACGTGCGATGTAATCCATAGTTGGATCCAGGAAGCAACTGCAACGGAGTTGACACATATAGAAACTCCTCGTCCGCAACAGTTCTTCCTAGGAGGGAACTTCCAGGGAGCTAATATCACATTTAATTTTAATATCAAATAGTTCTCCAGGTTCCTGAGTTGCTGCCGAAGCTGGCACTTCCCATCATCTGTAGTACTATAATTACAATAGTTTTTAGTTCTTCTTATTATTATTATTTGCCATGACGACCCCCGTAAGTCCAAATAACTGGCAGGGCAGGGTTGGGCCTTTTCAGAACTTCTCTCTTTTCTTCATAATTATACATGTATGCCAGGCGTGAGCCATCCCCTGGATTAACAAAATGGGTGCTATATAAAAAAGAGAAAAAAGAAAAAGAAAAAAAAACTTCATGGTGATTGCTGAGTACTTTGGTAGCAGGATACTACAGTACATGTATTTCAGGCCGATTGCATTGTTAAGGCTACTCACCGGGTATTAGAGAGGTTCCGCATAACGTAATTACGTTAGTACAAGTAAAAAACGTAGTCGATCTACGGAAAGTCTTACGTAAACTGCATGCGCATCTGGGTTCCGCCATACGGAGTTTTCAAATCACGTAGCTGCCCTTGGCAACTCCGAATGCGGCAGTGTACGACCAGATCGACCTGGGGAGAGAGTCCTAAATTTGTGCCCAATCCACTTACCGACCAGCTACGTTATCAGAGCCCTATCTACGTACTCTCCGTAGACAACTTTCCGTAAGTGGAGTGCAAACTCGCGAATTCACGGGTTTTTCCCGCCCACTAACGTAAAGTTGCTCAACTTTACGTAGTGCGGAACCTCTCTAATATCAAGAGTACTCTTGGTATTATGCATTAATCTCGTAGACCACTAAGACCAGTCTGGAAATGTACTAGTACTAGTAGTAAATGTAGTAGTCCGACCAAGAGTGCATAATGAACTCTTGCTCTGCGACTTCGAGTGTGATCAGTCAAATAATTTCGTAGTCGTTGTCAAGTCAAAAATCTCATGTTTACAGCCGAATGTGAGATGCGAACTGAGCTGACAACGAAAAACTGCCACAGACCCCTGCAGAGCTACGCTGACAGAGTACGGGGTGTCATTGACGACGGGCTTTATTGCTACCGTATTTTTCCGTATCCATTGACCACGGGCTATATCGGCTCATCAAGGCCACCGCGGGAACGTCGCTCATTGGCTACAACCATAGAAACGGTACGGTAAAAACCTGAAGTAGGAATAGTACATAAGCAGGCTATCTCTATCCTTTTACGCTGGTCTGATTACCTGCATACACGACTTACACGGCATTGTCACTTGCACATGTAACATTGTACATAATTCCACACTGCCTTTATCATCAACACCAGTTCCTGTTAACGCGTATATCTCAGGCTTTGTAGCAGGGAGTAGCGCAGTGCCATTGTACCATTGTGCTACTCCCTGCTTGACACAGACTTGCGTCATAGTGACATTTGCGAATAGCTGCCCCTGCAGTATAAAATTTATTCCCGTAGCTATGCAGAAGACGTTACTTTAGTAACGTCTGGCGCTAGCCAGGGTCCACACAGCTTTAATTTGGTGTTTGTTTGTGTGTTTGTTTGTTTGTGTCACGCCTGGAGCTATCCCGTATCTGTCCCGTATCTGTGACTACAAAGGCTCTACAGGATTGTACATAACAGCTGTCCACAATATTTGCGGGCTCCTGTATCTGTCCCGTACCGTACCAATAATCGTCGTATTATGTATACGACTCCCTGATGTAGAGGGAGATGTGGAAAGAAATAGGGAGACGAGGAGGAAATTAAATTAGAATAGACGCCGAATAGGTGATAGGATGCGTCAGCATAAACATACTTTGGAAGAGAGATCCCGTCGTCTCCAAAATAAGCGTGAACAAGCGATTCAGCGCCGGTCACAGGAAACGTAGGAAGAGAGATCCCGTCGACTCCAGAACGCCCGTGATCGGCAGAGTCCGCGCCGGTCCCAGGCAACGCCAGGACAGACATTCTCTCATTTGACTTAGAAAATCTCAGATTTTATTATTATTATTATTAGACACAATCTCATAGCATGTGACAAGCATAGCTAATGCAGGGACAGAATCCCCTGGGACAAGGGCGTTGAGCCAGCCACGGCAATAGTAAGCTAGGAAAACAAAGCAAATATGAATTAAAGCAGAAAATGAATGGAAAATTACAAAGAAAAACGATTAACGGAAGTGAGCACTATCAAAATTCGTGCATCACCCAGGTATTCGAGAATGTTCTTCGATGATAATTATTGCGTCTAGTTCAGTTGTGATAGTAGATCTTTAAACTGACCAATAGAAGAACAAGTTTTCAGACCGTATGGTAATGATAACCAATGAGAGTAGCCGGAAAACAAAGGGGACTTTAGATACTGGGCTGACTTAACAAGAGGCAGGGTGAGCGCGTTACGGGTTGAGCTTGTCGAAAACCAATTGTGCTTCATCATGTGTGAAGGGGTTTTATGAAGAAATATTTTATGAACCAGTGTACAGAGATGGTGCTTATGACGAACGGAGAGAGGAGAAGTGTGTGCAAGTCGATAAAGGGCATCCGAAGGAAAACATCGATCCTTGTTGTAAAGAATTTTAAGTATAAATCTATGGTGGACTTCTAATTGGCTCAGAGTTGTGTCAGAAAGGCCACACCAAGCGGTATCGCAATAGTCGAATATAGGGAGAATATAGCACTGATAAAATAATAGCTTACACTGGATGGCCAAATGAGTGCAATGTGGTTGTAGTACCCCTAAGGCTGAACTGGTTCGCTCGCATACACAGTTGACATGTGCATCCCAAGAGAGTTTGCAGTCAAACATCACATCTAGATGTTTGTGCTGAGTAACGACACGGATAGGCATAGTCGAGTCAGGGAAGAATAATGGTTGATCAGGAGGGGATGAAGAAATATACATGGCTTCTGTCTTGTCTAAATTGGGCTGGAGTTTCCACGTTTGCATCCACATGACAGTGCTGTTGATGCGATGCTGCATGGTAAGGAGTAATTGTGCAGGGGAGGAATCAGAACAGATAAGGCCAGTGTCATCCGCATACAAACTAACATCAGGGACAACTGAAGGTAGGTCATTAACGTAAAGCAAGAATAACAAAGGACCCAGAATGGAACCTTGGGGCACTCCAGACGTTACAGGGAGGGGATCAGACAAGAAATAGAACAAGCGAACAGCCTGAGAACGAGCAGACAGATACGAGGATATCCAACGCAAGGCAGCATCCTCCACCCGGAAGGTGACCTTCAACTTGGCAAGTAAGCCACGATGCCAAACGGTGTCGAATGCCTTAGCCAAGTCGAAAAACACCATTCCCACGTGCTGCCCACAGTTCCTCTTTGTCGCTAAGTCTTGGGCAAGTCGAGTCACCTGGTATTGAGTTGAGTCACCACGGCAGAATCCCGACTGAGCTGGTGAGAGAGCCGGAGCGATGTGCAGGTAGAGGGAATCGAATACAATACGCTCACAAAGTTTGGAAACTGTGCGCAGCAGAGAGATGGGGCGGTAGTTTGCCGGGCAAGCACGGGAGCCTTTATTCTTGTAAAGCAGTGTCACGATGGCGGATTTCCAATCCTGTGGGAATGTACCAGTTCGAAATGACATATTAAAAATAAAAATATTTTGAGTTTTTTGCGCTACATACATAATTTTATTTTCATTATTTTATTGGTTTGGTGAGACTCCCATGATAGGTATCCATTTACCTCTGGAGAGTCCGTAAATAAACAAACAAAACGTCAGGACAGACATTCCATCGAGTCCAGAACGCCCGTGATCGGCAGAGTCTAAGCCGGTCCCCGGAATCGTCAGGACAGACAACCCGTCGAGTCCAGAACGCCCGTGATCGGCAGAGTCAGCGCCGGTCCGAGGAAACGTCAGGACAGACATCCCGTCGACGCGCAGAAAAACTAAATCTGAAGCCTCTTTTGCCGTCGGACAGGATACGTATTTTAGGAGACTAAAGTTATGTAATGTGCTCCACAGGCAACCATGCATTCGGCGTCGTCATTGGCTCAATAGGTCAATGTACATGTATTACTACAAAAAGGCCAGAAAATCCGATTACTGTATTAAAATCAACTAATTTTCGCTGGCGATTTAATTAAGGTTCGAATCCAAGGTTATGTCTTTAAAAAAAGGATTATTTTTTTAAAGAATTTATACCATCCCTATGCATTTTATTGTCTAGGTCATCAAGGCAAAAAAGCATAGCGTAGGGCCCTGAGCTTCCAAGCTCTCTCGTTTTATTTTGTGTTTCACTCTCACGACTATAGCATCTGGATTCGGAATAGCCTTATTTTATTTTTATTTTATTTATTTCTGCACCTCGTGGCATGTCAAGACAGCCAATTGAATTGAGGAGAGGGTGAGACCAACCACGGAAGAAGAGAAAAAAATAAAATGAAGAGCACGTACACAAAGTGGGAAGGGATTAGCAACTTACAAAGCAATGGGATGCTCAGCGAGCTATGCAGCGGACGTGGTGACTGCGACTTTGTTTACTGAGAGACACTGAAGTGCTGTTTGACGAGGGTACGGAATTTGGGCATATCTGGAGCTTGTCTAACACTGGGAGGTAGTTGGAGCCACGTGGAGTAGAAGGAAAAGAAAGGGGAATTTACGAATAGGGTAGACCTAGCTAGGGGAGACGAACGCAGCTTCGGGTGGTGCCGCCTGAATTGAACCAATTAAGGGACTGTAAATGAGCAGGGTGCTGGTCAAGAAAAATTAAATGTGCCAGGGTGCACTTGGAAGCATCAAGGTAATGTTGCAGAGTGGTAGTGGATGCAGCAGCATACAAGTC